AAATCATATGCTTTTGACAAACCGCCGATTCCAGCCGCTTAGTCAGATCCGTGTCCATCACGATCAATTCGCACAGAGAAGATAATGTGCAAAAAACCCTACTGAAAAGCGAAAAAGAAATTTTAAACAAAAAATTCAATACAAAAACTTGAACTGTTTTAACCATAACCGAATATTTGCTTGTGTATATATACATTTGTCGGTGCTGTCAATTGAAATTTTCTTAATTAAATAGGAAAAAAAACAAACAGAGTTCATCACAAATTGAGCCAGATGTACATTTAGAGTACGCGTAAGCAAAAACAGCCCATAAATTAAAGAAAATCAATATATTTACAGAAAATAGAAAACTGCAATTGAAAGGATGTGCATTTTTTATTAAAACATATTGTATTGTGAATATGTAAATTGCTGTTTTGACCGAAACAATAAAAGTCAGATTTAACTTTTATAATTGACCAAAAAAATAAAAGTCAAGTTTTAACTTTTATATTTGACCGAAGAAATAAAAGTAAATTTTTAACTTTTATTTTTGACTGAAAAAATAAAATATCAAATTTTAACTTTTATATTTGCCCGAAAAAATAAAAGTCAAATTTTAACTTTTACTTTTGACTGAAAAATATCAGTCAAAAAATAACGGTTAATTGCTGACTTTTTTGGCCATAGCCAGAGTATTAACTGTAAATCACCGTTTTTTTGGACAGCCTTACAGATACTTTAAATTAAATTTCAGATTTCAAATAATATATTAAAGTCTATCTTTCAGTGTTTTTGTAAGTATGTGCATCAGATGCGATGGTGGTGCAGAGTTTCTTCTTTTTGAATTCTGCTGCATTCCAATCATGCGGTTGAAAAACCTTAACATTCCAAAAATCTCTTCGTTTTTGGAGATTGCTACCACGTGACCATTGTGCATACATACAAGTGTAAATGTTCTTCTTCTGCCTGGAAACCGCCTGGAAAAACATAGAAATATCCTCTAAAAACGTAGAAATAACCTAACAAAATTTTAGACAGGGTGTTCATAGGGATGTAGAAAAAGAATAGTTATTAAAATAACCTTAAAAATTGGCAAAATATGCATTGAATTAAATAAATGCCTTCTCGTCAATGACTCCTAAACGTAATAGAATTTTTCTTGCTGGTTTTGTCCGTTTTAAGTTATTTTATATATATTGAGTGTAACCCTGTAGCACATAGAATCAGGTGATCTTAGCCATGAACCAATTAGACAGATCTGACCGGTTGAGAAGCAGCCATTTGTAATAGCAATTGAGAAAAAAATGTGTGATGTTCGTAATTTTTAAGCTTGCTTTTTCTGTTTTGCTTCTTTCTTTATGTGTGTTTTGTCGGTGATTTATTTCAGTGATTTTTAAGCGATTTTCAATAAATTTTTTGTGGAAATGTAATTAAAATGAAGTGCGCGGTGATAGGTGGCAAAAACACGTACAAAATAATAATTTCGTTAGCACAAACATGTGCTGCAAATTGCTTGCATTTTTTTTCTTTATGCTTCGTCTTCATATTCTTTGTTTACTTTTCAAAGAAAATAACATGGCGCCGAAATTACAAACGTCAGCCAGAAAATTACTTTTTTCTTTTGCTTCATCTTGTCAGATCTTGTGTAGTTGGATCACGGATCTTAGCTGTGAGGCATTTCGGGAAAACACCTAAGGCTATCTGCACACTTGTCGTCCAATCATAGTTGCGTTAACGTCTCGCCCTGAAATTTTGAGCCGAGCACACGCATTCCAAAGGAGATCTGCACACTTGTCATTATCGGCAAATCGTAGAAAATGCAGAAACGGATAAGTACGACAATGTCGTTTGCTAATCGTTGTGCACGCATTGTTTGTTTACATTTTATGGGGAAAAATTAGTGAAAAAGTTAATATTTGCATTAAAATTGAATAAAAAACACATTTCAGGAAAAGAAAAGAGGATATATTACTGAAAAATTATGTCTAGAATTGTTGCAGCACAGCCAATATTTTAAAAATTGCAAGTTTTTGTAAATATTTCGCGAAAATATCAACCAGAAAAAGAGAAAATACCTACTCCAAGTCAATTTTTAGACGCCAAATGAATTATAATATCATGACCGAGTGTGCGAAAATGTAGTCGTCATGTAATCGTTGCGTCATGATTGTGACCGTGAAGTAACTATGATTGGACGACCAATGTGCAGAAAGCATGGGACGTTGCTGCAGTTTTTTGTTGAAAATACAGTTCTTTTGGGAATTCACCATGATGCAATAGTACAAGGTGGTATCAGTTGTGACAGCTCGATTTGACACTGCTTTAGCGCAGTAGAATAAGAAGAAAAAGGGGAATAAGTTAATCCCCATTTGGGGCATAAATATAAAATTTCATATTTTCTTCTAAACAAAATTTGCCTTTCTGTATCATATTCGTAATGAAATGAAATAAAATAAGATAAAATACCTTTTGAGAAAACAAATTCTGTATACTGAGAAAAAATATAAAAAAAAATCAATTATATTATTAGGCAAAGAATTGTTAAAGAAGTAACACTCTTTCACCTAAGGCCCTGTCTCCACAGGAAAACACTGATGTCGTGATAACCGTGTCACAAATATATTTCCAATGGAGACCGCCTATTTCTCATGGGTTGCAGGCAATTCGATAGTTTGACAGCCATATTTTCATTTGAAAGAAAGCGTGCTGGTGGTAACCTCGATGAAATTTTGATATTAAATCCAAATAACAATCTGTTCTCAATTGGATTGTTTATGATTACGTTTTAGGAAATTATTCAGAAAGTGTTTTAAAGATTTAAATGTTTTTAAACACCGAATTTGAGAGAATGTTGGGTAGTAGTGCACTTTAGCGGAACCAGTTCAAAAAGGACGGAAAAAAGTAGAGAGTAGTATTAATCGACGCGTCTTGACGCCAGTAATAATAATCAGAGACCGGAAATTAACATTTTTTATTCATTAAAGAGTTATTCGCAAAAAACACTTGCACTTTTCGCTTTGCACTTTTATTTTATATACAAGACATTTTTATAAAACACCCAGTAACCATAATAGACATCACTGGGGCGGCAGCCCCAGGTTTACCATACAGGAAGCGAATTATATTTACCTCATCATTTCCCAAGGATAAATCAAAGCTACCGCCCCAGTTGGTGCACACCAAAAGGAGAATTCTATTTGGTAAGGGTTATAACCCTAGAGCGCGGCCGAAGGCCGCCTACGCTGAAAGGAATTCTACGCAAAAATACTGTGGACGCAAGTGAAAATTGTGATTTTTGGCCATTTTTCTAAGGGGTCCCTAGTGACCCATAGAGAATAACTCTTAAATTAATTAAAAATCTTAAATTCCGGTCCCGGATTGTTGTTATTCGCGTCGATTGATACCCCTCTGGATTTTTTTTTGTCAATTTTGGCCTGGTTCCGCTGAAGTGCACTTTTACCGCTTTTAGGCCATCGGTGTTTGCCTGTGGTGTTCTGCGGTAAGGCAGTCAATATGGCGTAATTTAGATTTTCGCAGCGGTACTTATCAATGTCAAAATGATGTGTTTGTTGTAAGCAAGGCGAGTTCTTATTATAACAAATACACTATTTTGACATTAATAAGTACCGCGACGAAAATCTAAATTCACCAGTAACACCACCTTGTATAAATTCGCCTTGCCTTGTATTAGGTTCATTCCTTATCTTTTTGCCAGAGCGTAAGCAAAAGGCGCTCACTAAAAGAGAATAACAGGAAAAGTAAAGGAACGCAAAAAACCAAATTTTTAGTCCAAAGAATGGCAACAACAAAGCTAACGTCAAATAAGAATGTAAATGTATGTACAAAACACCTTCACACAAGCACAAGCACAATAAACACTTACTATAATATTTGCCTCCTTCCAATTTCAATTCACCTTTTTTACTTTTTAGATTATTCCCACTTTTGCGTATTTTTTAATCTCCGTTAATTTAAATTCAGTTGTGTTTGACACTTTTCAGGATTTTGCCAGAAAAAATTCTTCTGAATAAATTTGACTACTTCGGACTGATGAGAGTCACTCTCACCGAGTGTTGCTCTCTCATTTTTGCTGTCATTTCCGAGTTAAGGAACGCTTTTTGGACTAAATCTGCCTACTTCGGACTTTTTCTGGGAGATAAGGAACGCTCCTATTATTGGCACGTTCCCTTTTAAAAAAGTCTTCGAAAATCATCGTGCATTTACACGATGACTTTTTCTTTGCGGCGTTTCTTGCGTATTTTTGACATTTAAGCGTAAAATTTTCATTGGTCAACTCATTCGTCATTTTTAAAGCGGAGCGAATCGCGAACTCAAAGCAAAAATACGAAAAAGTGATAACCAAAAAAAATAAAAAAAAGCAAACGCCAAAACGCCAAAAAACCCCTCGATTTCGTTCACCGTGCGTGCTTGCCTACGCCCCTGACTTCGCTATGCGTCTTGCCAACAAGCTAGACACGCATGAACGAAAGACACAAGATCACGTAAGAACAAGAGAGTGAAAAAAGTCGATTTTTTTAGCGGGTTCTACGCCGTCTTGCTTCACTGGAAAACGAGCGAAAAGTAAACAAAGCAAAGAAAACAACGAAAATCAAAATTGGCCAAAATTATTGTCAGCCACTTTAAACGCACAATTTAGGTAAAATGATGCAACAAAATGCTTTAAAATGTGTTGTCATGTTGAATTAACTCTTCTTTACTTGAATAAAAATGTAAAATAGTGGTGCTTGTGATGTAAACAAACGCTCAGCTGACGAACCCGCTTTCGCAAACTTTTTTCTCAAAACCAGTTACAAATACAACGTCGCGTTCTTACGTGATCTTGTATTTTTGGATCATGCTAGACACGCATGACTTTCCACCCAGGGTGAAAAGTCTTTGTGTTAATTGGCTCAATCTGGCAACGCTGCTCGCAGCTGAAATTAAATTCCCCAGGGTGAGAGAAACGTCGTTCTGGCATCTTCGTTTTGCATTCGATTTTGTTCCGACTTCCAATGACGCCCAGAGAAGCTTTGAGAGAAACGCCGCTGCCAGTCCGGTAAAGTCAGCAAAAGGCGACGAACGACTTTTATGTAGTAATTTTACGTGTGATTCCGCGCTTTAGATTTGACGTTTCCTTTATTACATTCTGCAATTAATATAAAACACAAAGTAAAAACAAAAATACCACTAAGTGCAAATTATAAACAGTGGTCAAACCCAAGTTTAATGTGCGGAGTGCAGGATAGAAAGAGTTGATGTTACGCAGTGGAAGTGGTTATTAGAAGGCGCCGAAAAGCAACGTCTGGCCAGACAATTTAATTTGCCAATCTATATACATACATATATATATATATATATATACAAATACATATACATACATATTAGTGAAGATAGAAAACACGTGTCCATTTGCCAAAATTCAGAATTTGCAAAAATAGTGTGCTTGTGTGCGAAAAGAATAAATAAATACATAAGTGAAAAAGAAAAAGCGCTGAAGCAGTTCGCACAAAAATTTCAAACATTTCGTTCCACAAAAATGTCTGTACCCGTCGATATCAAGACAGAGGAAGTCATTTTGGAAAGCACCGAATACAACAGCGCAGAGGAATTGGACGAGGAGCTACAGTAAGTTCGCATAAAATTACACCATAAACACTTTGTTTTTGAGAATTGTAAATATTTTTGAGTATTGTACCTTTACCACATTAGTTATTGATTTTTCTTACGTCTCCTTTCGTCGTCTACTCGTTCATTCAAGCGACAATGGAAAACCATACGCACATACATACATATATATATATATTTATATACAGGTTCTATGAAATGCAGTATACATACGAACATACGTGCATGCAAACATATGTATCTAATGTACCTTCTGTACCGCCAGTCGCCTTTTTATTAGCGAAAGCAAAGCGGTGAAAACATCTGTGCCATTGGTGTGACAGAGAGCGGAGTGCATACCTCTCACACATGCACATGTATAGCCGTGGTGGCGGCGGTCACCGCTCACAGATGGCTATTGGAATAGGCGAAGTTGGTTCGTTTGTTGCTACTTTTTTGATTCATTGGGGGCAAAAATATGTAGCGACATCATTTGTACATTTTTTGTTTGTATGCATTCTCGTAAAATTGAAAATGAAAATTGTGGATGCGTCGGAAAGGGCGCCCATTTAATAGGGTGTATAACAGACGCGTCACGAAAGGCCAACAAAGCAAACACAATACAAAAATAACAGATGATGTGGGGAGTTCTCGTATAATTACCTTTTGTCGCATATTTCTCTCAGGCGGGCCACTAGGCAACTTCCAATCGCTGCGCCAGCATTCTTTTATTCCAACGAGAGAGCGGCAAAGTAGCACGCACATACAATGGAAATGGAGTGACGCGCTACATTTTGGCGTCCATATTGAAAACGGCTGATTTTTTGTTTACAGTGGCGGTCGAATCGGCGAGATACTACATGTGATACGTGTTGGCGCAAAAGTACAGCAGCTGATGCCGAATTGAGTTGTGCCGAGTTCGCAGCTGCGATGCGATAAAAAAAGCTGATTGGGAAATCGGGTTTTTTTGCGCGACTATTCAAAGTCGAATAAATCAAAATATCAATGTACATACGTATGTACATCCAGATGTACATATGCATATGATATAGATATGTACATCCATATGTACATATGCAATTGACATACATATGAGCCGTTTAGTCCACACATCGATTAACTCCACTTTTTGAAAAATCTTATGTCGATTTCGTTTCTACCGAAAAATACAACCTTCTCCTTGCCCTCTACGCACAAACACTAAGAAGAGGGCGATGAGAAGGCAACATTTTTGTAGAAACGAAATCGCGATTAAATTTAAGTGTCTATACTTATTACGTTTATAATAACTTTATATACCATACAGTAGTACATAATATTTATAACATTATTTATTTGATTTAATAATATATATGTATGTAGGTAAATGGAATTTTAAAAGGTAATATACCTACATTGTTTGATCGCATCTCCCAACTTTTTGTTGATGGAGTTAATCAATTTCTGCACTGAACGGCTCATAAGTACCTACGTATATATGTTGTTTACATAATTTTTTGATGTACTTAGATACTAAATATGTACATATGTACATAAATATGCAATCCTTTCATAATAATACGGTTGCCAGACGTACTGATTTTATCAGTACAGTTCTGGTTTTTCTGCTCTTGTACTGATTTTATTCATTTCTTCAATCAGTACGCTAATGTCCTGATTTTTAAAAATTTGTACTGATTTGTACTGAATTTTCAATTCAAACAAAATACTTTATGAATTTCTGAAGGTTTTTACATAACGTTGGAACTTCCTTAAACTCTACTTTGAAAAGTAAGAAGAAAATAATTTAATTATAGTTGACATGTTTCAGATAATGTTTGATATGTCAAGAAGTTAATACAACAAAAATATCAATTCTTTTATAGGCATATCGCCAGGTCGTTACGTACCAGTTGCGATAATATGATGGAGGTTAAATTATTTAAAAAGAGGCTGACGTTTTTTGGTCGAGTGTTGCTAGTTATCTCGAAAATAACTTTCAGTTTAATAACAACAAAATTGAATATTCGAATGGCTTTTGCCCATAATTTACAATTCTTATTTCACTGACATTGTAAAAGAGTTTTGCATACAAGGCATACCACAGCTTGAAAAAATTTGTATTTTTTTTTTTCAATACCACACTCAAACGAAGCAACTGAGAGGATCTTAAGTACAAAGTTTGCTTCCTGGCGCAAAGAGAGAAAACGGCTTCTAATAAAAAATTTTTGAAGTGAACTTCATAATAAAAGTAATTTTAAAATGAAATGTATAGAATTCTTTGATTATTTAAACACTGAAGATAGAAATGATCTCATTATTGCTATTCGAAAATGTCATAAAAATAAAATAATTTATTGGCTTTTGAGTACACTCATGTTAAAGTGAATAACACGTTTATTTTTTATGAACTATATTTTATTAATATACCAAAATATTGTTAAAAACAACTACTCTGGCGTTTTATAATTCATTCATAATTTTGCTTTGAATAAAAATGTACTGAAAAGTACTGATTTTGTTAGCATGAAAATGTTGTTGTTGTTGTTGTCNTTTAATAACAACAAAATTGAATATTCGAATGGCTTTTGCCCATAATTTACAATTCTTATTTCACTGACATTGTAAAAGAGTTTTGCATACAAGGCATACCACAGCTTGAAAAAATTTGTATTTTTTTTTTTCAATACCACACTCAAACGAAGCAACTGAGAGGATCTTAAGTACAAAGTTTGCTTCCTGGCGCAAAGAGAGAAAACGGCTTCTAATAAAAAATTTTTGAAGTGAACTTCATAATAAAAGTAATTTTAAAATGAAATGTATAGAATTCTTTGATTATTTAAACACTGAAGATAGAAATGATCTCATTATTGCTATTCGAAAATGTCATAAAAATAAAATAATTTATTGGCTTTTGAGTACACTCATGTTAAAGTGAATAACACGTTTATTTTTTATGAACTATATTTTATTAATATACCAAAATATTGTTAAAAACAACTACTCTGGCGTTTTATAATTCATTCATAATTTTGCTTTGAATAAAAATGTACTGAAAAGTACTGATTTTGTTAGCATGAAAATGTTGTTGTTGTTGTTGTCGCGGCTACAACAACCCCGCCCAGGACGGTTGGTATCTCAGTCGTTGTCGTCAAGTTCCACTAACGGCAACCCTAGGAAGCGTGCAGCTTCTGTGGGGTTTGTCCACAGGCACAAGGCCGTTAGGGTTGTCGGGTTTTCCGGGCATGCGAAGATATGTTTCGAGTCATGTGGGGTCTCTCCGCATGCCGGACACTCATTCGGCACATCCTCATTCAATCTACTCAGGTAGGAGTTTAACCTGCTGCAGTAGCCGGAGCGAAGTTGTGCAAGTGTTGTGCGAGTCTCCCGAGGCAGATGAAGCTCCGTCTGGTCTATGTCCGGGGGTGGTATGCCTACAACGGCATTCACAGGTCTAGAGTCTACATAACTCGAGAATGAATCCCTGTGAATGCCGTTCAGGGCCTGTCGGTAAGCTGTCGAGTCCAGAGGTTGCTTGATGNATACAAGGCATACCACAGCTTGAAAAAATTTGTATTTTTTTTTTTCAATACCACACTCAAACGAAGCAACTGAGAGGATCTTAAGTACAAAGTTTGCTTCCTGGCGCAAAGAGAGAAAACGGCTTCTAATAAAAAATTTTTGAAGTGAACTTCATAATAAAAGTAATTTTAAAATGAAATGTATAGAATTCTTTGATTATTTAAACACTGAAGATAGAAATGATCTCATTATTGCTATTCGAAAATGTCATAAAAATAAAATAATTTATTGGCTTTTGAGTACACTCATGTTAAAGTGAATAACACGTTTATTTTTTATGAACTATATTTTATTAATATACCAAAATATTGTTAAAAACAACTACTCTGGCGTTTTATAATTCATTCATAATTTTGCTTTGAATAAAAATGTACTGAAAAGTACTGATTTTGTTAGCATGAAAATGTTGTTGTTGTTGTTGTCGCGGCTACAACAACCCCGCCCAGGACGGTTGGTATATCAGTCGTTGTCGTCAAGTTCCACTAACGGCAACCCTAGGAAGCGTGCAGCTTCTGTGGGGTTTGTCCACAGGCACAAGGCCGTTAGGGTTGTCGGGTTTTCCGGGCATGCGAAGATATGTTTCGAGTCATGTGGGGTCTCTCCGCATGCCGGACACTCATTCGGCACATCCTCATTCAATCTACTCAGGTAGGAGTTTAACCTGCTGCAGTAGCCGGAGCGAAGTTGTGCAAGTGTTGTGCGAGTCTCCCGAGGCAGATGAAGCTCCGTCTGGTCTATGTCCGGGGGTGGTATGCCTACAACGGCATTCACAGGTCTAGAGTCTACATAACTCGAGAATGAATCCCTGTGAATGCCGTTCAGGGCCTGTCGGTAAGCTGTCGAGTCCAGAGGTTGCTTGATGATCAGTTCATATAGATGCCTCCTGACGTGCCTAGGCGAGGGCTCCTCTGCAAGCAGCTGTCTGTTTGGGTGGCCTTTTCTATGGCTCCCGATCAGGAACTGCTTGCAGAGCATTATATTGTGCTCCTTTACGGGGAGCATTTGCGCCTCGCCGTGAAGATGGTGTTCGGGCGACATCAGGAGGCATCCTGTCGCTGTCCTGAGTGCGGTGTTCTGTGCAGTCTGTAGCTTCGTCCACTGCGTCCTACTAGTCCCCGGCGACCACACTGGCGCTGCGTAGTTCAAAACCGGCCTGAAAATGTTATAACGGCATTAATTGTAGCTTTTAACTTTAAAATTTGTTGTGGAAAGAAAAAATTTGTAGCTCTCGTTTTTTAAGAAAAAATGGTTTGTAGTGCTAACTTGACACCATACACCTAGTCGATAGAATTGAGATATCCAATATGCTACTATGCCATTAATTGTAGCTTTTAACTTTAAAATTTGTTGTGGAAAGAAAAAATTTGTAGCTTCGTTTTTCTAGAAAAAATTGAGTTTTTTTCGCAATAGTATGTGTCTAACTTGACACCATACACCTAGTCGAAGAATTGAGATATTGA